GCAACCAAGCAACCAAGCGAAGGTCACAAAACCTGACACTTTCTGTTGTACCAAAGTCTTCGCTGATTTTGTGCATCAACACACTTAAACAAGGTGCTTCCTAAAAGATATGGTAGAATTCCTGGTGTGGAAACCAGATTTGTGGCTAGGGGAAGGCTAAAATGCATCTGTGAGTCTTCCCGGCCCCCAAAAGGGGTGGATAACCGTGGCTTGCCACCAGTGGTCTTCCTTTTAAAAAAAAATAATTTTGTAAAATTTACACAATTACATTCCTAACTTTTTTTTTGGTAAAGAATTACATTCCTAACTTAATTAAGACTGCAACATATTCTTCATAATAAAACAATAAATTAATTTCAAACTCGTTATTTTCTGTCTCTCTCCTCCTACACTAATTAGAACTGATGAAAGGAATTTTATTGGAAATTCATGCATTATGAAAAGGGTAATACTAGTTAGATTAAATTTGTAAACAAAATATGCAAACTAAATGATGTGTTACCAATAAAAATAAGCACGTTAATCAACATTTAAGTAATAATATAATCATCAATTTTTATGTCATTATCCTTTCCTTTCGCTTAATATATAATATTCCCTCTATTTATAGCAAAATATCTTTGTTTAAAAAACTAAATATCTAAAACCATACCAATGTCTGTAAAGATCACTCATGCTTTCTTCTTTAAAAAGCAGTCATGCGTTACCAGTCAATTGATTCTTCTCAATTATGAAACTACAATATTGTCTTTTGAATTTGGGGTGTATATATGCTTATTTCTCTTTCAAATTTCGTCTTTAAATACCCCATCCATTTTATTTTAAAAAAAAATACTTTTGTACTCATATATGAAATTACCGGGCTTAGTGATTTCTTAAAAGAAAAAAATTATTTTCTTTAAACAGCCATAGAATTTTGAAACAAACAACGTTTTAACCAAACAAGAAACCAGTTAAATTTTATTTTACCGTGCTTTTTTAAAATTTCCCCATGCTTATCTAAACTACACATAGCATGCACAAACCCAGTAACAGTGGCATACCAAAACTGATGTGGGTCGGGCCAAGGTTGTTTTTCCTTCATGTGTTGAAGGTTTCTCTTGTAAAAGTCTTTAATATTCTCGTCTTTTTATTTTATTAATTTATTTTCTACTGGGTCGTAGGATTAATGTGAGATCCCACATTGCTCAGGGGAGTAGGTCTTGTAAGCCTTATATGTATATTATCATCTCTACTTAGCACGAAGCCTTTTGGGAGCTTATTGGCTTCGGGTTCTATCGGAACTCCAAGTTGAGCGAGATCGGGTTATCGTGTGAGTTCCTAGAAACAAAACCGTAAGGACATGTCGGGGCCCAAAGCGGACAATATCGTGCTACGGCAGAGTCGAGCCAGGAATGTGATGGGGCTCAGGGCGGGATGTGACAATTGAAACTGTACTACAATTCCTCCGTCTGAACAATTTTAATTAGTCGAACTTGTCTGTTGAATTTGTTTTTCTCAGTTCATCCGTGTTTTCAAAGATGCCAAAGAAAAGAATAACTAACATGTTGGCGAAAGCAAACTTGATGTTCGCCACTTGGAATTCTACGTTTTAGACTTGGAGTCACACACCGAAGATGGTGGGGGCCCGGGTCGAGCCAGGAATGTGATGGGGCTCAGGGCGGGATGTGACAATTGAAACTGTACTACAATTCCTCCGTCTGAACAATTTTAATTAGTCGAACTTGTCTGTTGAATTTGTTTTTCTCAGTTCATCCGTGTTTTCAAAGATGCCAAAGAAAAGAATAACTAACATGTTGGCGAAAGCAAACTTAATGTTCGCCACTTGGAATTCTACGTTTTAGACTTGGAGTCACACACCGAAGATGGTTGGGGCCCGGGCCGGGATGTGACAATTGAAACTGTACTTCAATTCCTCCGTCTGAACAATTTTAATTAGTCAAACTTGTTTGTTGAATTTGTTTTTCTTAGTTCATCCGTGTTTTCAAAGATGCCAAAGAAAAGAATAACTAACATGTTGGTGAAAGCGAACTTAGTGTTTGCCACTTGGAATTCTAAGTTTTAGACTTGGAGTCACACACCGAAGCGATTTTTTAGTGTACTGAAAAGTCAAATGTGATAATACAATTGATTATAAATTTGAAAAAAAAAAATTACAACTAATTATATCATGATACTTGATATACTCGATCGTGTTCTCCTACACTAAATTTTATTTCCACGCATTAAACCTTCCCCCAAAAAGACACCATTGAAATTAATTTCTTTTGAAATTTTTACTTTTTCGTCACTTTTGAAATTTCTTTCTTCACAAAAAGTCTCATTCCGCGTGTTGATGATAAGAATTGCTTGTACAATGTCATGTTCAAATCGAAAAACTTTAGATGTCAATTTGGAGAACGTCCCTTGAATTAACGATACTTGAGATGATAGATATGGAAGCATAGCACAACAAAAAAGGAATTTCGCTTGCCCACGTTTTCTTGTGTAGTGTGAATTCTATTAATTTAGGGTGTTGCTATTCAAATGTTTATTTTTACTTCTAACACATTTTTATTAATTTTTTATCATTGATCATCTTTAATTCATTTGATCCGACAATAAAAAATTGAGAGGGATGTGTGAAAGATAAAAATAAGTGTGTGAACGATCCAACAATAAAAAATTGAGAGGGATGTGTGAAAGATAAAAATAAGTGTGTGAACGATCCAACAATAAAAAATTGAGAGGGATGTGTGAGAGATAAAAATGAGTGTGTGAATATCAGCACTCCTAATTTATACCAATTTCTGTCTTCAATAATTATATAAAACAAACAAAGGGAAAACTTGATATAAGTCCAATTTTTTTACCCCATAGTAGGAATAGTCCAATTTATTAAAATAAATCAAATTCCTTAAATTTAATTATTTAATTATCAATAATTATCTATTCAATGATAAGATTTATTATAAAATCAAATTTCTTCCTAATTATCTCTTTGATTATTTCTTTTTATTTATTTATTTTTGTTATTTCTTGTTCTTCCTCCTGCTTTAAACCTCATTTATAGATTTTATTTTTAATTTTTATAATCAACCTATATCACAGGTTAATTATTTTTATGTATCTAAATGACAGATTCTTTTTTATAATCAATGTGTCATAGATTAATGTGTCTTGCTTGTAGGTATATTATGTTTTTTTTCCTACCTTTTAATTAGGTTTCATATCTCGCTTATCGGTATAATATACATTCATATATTTGTTACTTGAGTTAAGAATGTTTTGTAGATAATTTATGTTAGTATATTAGTTTTTTTTTTGTTATAAGATATTAATTAGATTTTTTGGAGTTGAAAAATGCATAATATTAGAAGATTTTAATTGATTTTTAATATTTTAAAAAAAAATATAAAAGGAGTATAAAAGAAATAAAAACATGTAATTAGATAACTGGACTCACTCCTAAAAACTATCTATATTTTTAGACCTAGATCTAAAAGCCCCTAAAACAAAATATGTAGGTGACACAAACCAAATATGGTTATAGTTTGACGCTTTACTTAGTTTTTGTCCACGCTGGACCAAATGTAAATACGTAGAGTAAGTGTTATTTCTTGAGAGTTTTAACGAAACACTCCCGTTACTGTTCACTTTTAATGAAAAACCACATTTTTACCTTTTCCTAGTATTATTCACTATACTTTTATTTGTCATTTTTCATTAAAACTATTTTTTTTTTTAAATTTTCGTTGGTTTTCCTTTATTTCTTTTCAAATGATGTAGCAGTTTTCAATCTTGTATTATTTATTAAATAGACACTCTTTATTTTAACTAAATTTGGGTTCCCAAATTTTTAGAAATTATTGTGTAATACGGCATAGAGAAATTTTATTTAAACCAATGTAATCTCTTTCTACACCTAATTTAAATTGACAGCTACTAGACCCACCCCACAATCATATTTCCCCACCCCACTCAAAAGGTAAAAATGAAAAACACTATTTTCCCACCCCCTGATATTCCTAAACTATCCCTTACAAAGAAAATTAGCAACCGCCACACATCCACCCACTCGACGGCAAGCAACCCCCTTCTCATCGTCAGCCAACTTTGTCTCTAATTGAATCAAGACTATGAGGATGAGCAACATCCTCGGTCGACCTTGTAGTCGCTCTCTGCAATTACAACTCAAGTAGAGGAATAATCGTAGAAGAGGGGTATCAAAACCACGTCAATTAGATGAACTGAGCATAGTTCCACATGGATTGCCGAAACTATAAATGGGTATGAGAGAAAAAGAAAAGGAGTAAGGTTTCTAAAGGTAATTGTAATGGGTCTATGGTGTTTGATGAAGATTTCAAATGGATGGGAAAGAATTGACATAAGAGATGAGGAAAACTGTGAATTCAACTGCTATGTGCGGTGGTTTCAACTTATTGGGCTCATTTTTTGTTCCTTCTATTTTTCAGAATTTAATACAAAAATAAAAGAATAAAATAGTTAAAGATGGCCTTATAAGTCATTTTGCAAAATGTTAGAGTTATCAAGTATCATTAAAAAGTAGGTGGAGAAATAATGTTGGTGGGTGGGTATATCATCTTCCTTATTTTATTAAAAGATGGGTGAGAAAATAGGACAATGAGATGGGGTTAGTACCACTTATTTTTAAATGACAGTAAGTAGGATTCTTTTTGTGTGGCTATTATTTTCTCTATTGTATTTACACTAGGATTCTCTGTTGTAATTTCTATATATGAATAAATCCAATGAGTCATAATTCAACCCTCACGTTTCCTTTTTATTAATCCTCTTCAAGTTTAATGGTTTCATTGACCTAAAAAAAGTTCAAATGGTCTCTGTTTGTGGAAGGTTTGTTTGTGATTCCAATCTGGATTCGGAAATATACAATTCCAAGTGGCAAACACCAAATTCACTTTTGGTATGAAGCGTATAGACTTTTCAATCTTCTATGGATATTTTCATATTATATAAACACAAATGTTCATTCCTTCGTTTTTTTAACCACAAATGTCCATTATTCGATCTTCAACAATTTTAGTCTCTTTCTTGGCTGCTTCTGCTTCTTCACATTGCGTCTAATATAAAGCATCATATTCGCTTTTGGCATTTTACCAACTAGTCGGTACATTCTTCTGCTAGAGAGAGAGAGAGAGAGAGAGAGAGAGAGAGAAAGAGAGAGAGAAGATCGATGATGGCAAGAGTGGAGGATGTGGTGATAGTTGGGGCAGGAATAGCAGGGCTGGCGACTGCCGTGGCGCTCAAGAGAGCTGGAGTTGAAGCGTTGGTATTGGAGAAATCAGACGGCCTCAGAGCCACCGGTGCAGCTTTAACCCTCTTCCCCAATGCTTGGTGTGCCCTTGATGCCTTGGGTGTTTCCCAGCACCTCACTTCTCTTTATGCTCCAATCAAAAAGTGAGTGCTCGAATCTTCTCCTGATGTATCAGACTAGTTTAAAAAATCTCTCTTTATTCGAAAAGAATAACGAAAAGGAATGTTTGGATGCACAGTCAGTGAGACGGTACATATTTATACATGAAGCTGATCGCTGGTATAATTATAAGCTGAAAGTCAGTGAGACTAATACAACTACTGTAACGAATTTCTAACGAAGTCAATCTTAACCACATTAACCATGTTGTTTAAAATGAAATTCAACTTATTTATGTTATGTCAGGGGGTATGTAACTGACATTGATACCGGAGAAATCCAAGAAGTTTCTTTCGCCGCATCCAATGGGTAAGCAAACCATAGTATTGTTTATTTGTTCAGTTTTACAGCTAGTATGTACTGCATTAGGAATTTAGGAGTGCAGATTGCTGACTTGAATGTTGTCAATCTTTTACATGAAATTTAGAAACGACCCAGTTAGACCAAGGTCAGTAAACCGAAAAGCTTTACTCAAGACTTTGGCAGATGAGTTGCCACCAAATTCAATCCGTTTTGCTTCAAAGCTTACTGCTATCGAGACCCAAGAACACGAAGGCTCGTCCATTTCAGTTATTCACATGGGAGATGGGACAATAATCAAAGCAAAGGTATATAGAAACCAAAATACACTGTTTATAAGTAGTAGAATGAGAGAGTCACTCGTGGAATGCCGTACTTTAAGCTCTCTTTTTCTTTTCCTTTATATTTTGTTTTAATTGGATGATCATCAACCACAGATTCTGATAGGCTGCGATGGGATTCACTCAGTGGTTGCCCGCTGGTTAGGACTTGCCGAACCAGTGTATTCAGGTCGATGGGCAGTTCGTGGCTTGGCTGTGTTTCCTGAAGGCCACCGATTGGACTATAACGTGCAGCAATATGTAGGACTTAACAGAAGGGCTGGTTTTGTTCCCCTCAACGACAAAGAGATCTATTGGTTCTTTGGCACATCTCCGGCTAAAGGTTCAAGATAAACCATTCCCTTTGTTTTAATTGATACCGACAATAAACTGAACACTTATCAAAACACCACGCTTGCTTCTACTGTTAATGTAGGGACAGATCTTGGGGATGAGCCGGAAGTTATAAGACAAGAAGTGATTGAGAATTATGCCAAGGACCTTCCTCCTATATACCTAGACATTGTGCAGCACTCTGATCTTTCAACATTATCATGGGCTCCGTTAATGTTCAGGTACCCGTGGAATGTAGTATTCGGGAACCTAGGGAAGCAAAACATCACGGTGGCTGGTGATGCCATGCACCCCATGACACCTGATTTAGGACAAGGAGGTTGCTTGGCATTGGAAGATGCCGTGGTCTTGGGTAGATACATAGGGACATCATTTGTACAAAATGGACGACTCGTGCCAAAAGAGATAGATAGTGCGATAGGGAAATACGTGGAAGAAAGAAGGTGGCGTGTCGCGCTGTTGACTGCAGGATCATATTTATCCGGATGGGTGCAGCATTTAGGGCCTGGATGGGTGAGGAAGTTCTTGAGGGATGCCATATTTTACAGGTTTATTTTCACTAAACTTGTTAAACTTTCACATTATGATTGTGGAAAACTTGATTTCTAGCTAGGGCATTTCGTTGTCCAAAAGAAAGAAGACAATCAAGATTCCCTCCTCTACGGAATTAAATTATTGATGGCCTTTCAACAAGGATCAACGAGAGACAGGAATCTAGGGAGAACAGAGAAGATTTATGGAACCTATTAGCTATAACATAAATTAATACTTTCACATATTGCTGCTTTGTTGTTGATGTAGTGCATTTTGAACAGTAGTTGATAGCAAGGCATATTGATGTAGTCTGAGATGAATAGCTAAATAAGCAGTATATACTTTGTGGAGCCTCCAAACGCGTAATGGATAATTTGTTGATAGAAAATGTTTGATTATACATCTGAAGAAGAACCTGCTTCTTTACGATAAAGAAGCCCAGATTGTTTAGGATGATCCAATGAACCATTACTTCCCAAGATTATAACTACAGACGTGCATCGACTACAAAGAGAATGCAACGTAACGCTTACGATAGAGAACGCAAATCTCCAAAACCTTTACCAATCACTTCCAAAGGCCTTCCTTAGTTCCATACTAGAAAATACGCATGCGTGTTGCTGCAGGAACCAACTATTTCAGGCGTAATCAGATGAATAAAACACATTTTAAGTTGAATAAATTCAACACAATTTTGAAAAAACAAAGGAATACATGAATAAATGAGGTCGATAAGATAAACAGCTTGGCTTTTATATACATTCAACTGAGCTGACATGTAAAGACATTGTAGAATTAGTAGAACGAAACTTAACGTCCTTGATCACAAACACGTGGTCGCCAAAAATGTTCTGTTACCATAAGAAACAGAAGAAACAAAAGGAACATGCAGTTCACACATAATTTGCCTTTGTAGTTAAAGCTAGCAAAATATATGTCCTGTAAGGCAAGCACCTATTTTAGCAGTTAATAAAAAACATAGAAAGTGGATACCACCCAAAGCATCCTTTGAACAAATTAAGAAATTCAAATAAAATTAAACACCCAAGGAAATAATAAACACAGAAAAGATATGCTTGAACTGTTAAGCAAATCAAGAATACTAACATAAATAAAGATATGCTTGTACCGTTAATCAAACCAACAAAAATAAAAAACAATTAACAATGTGAGAAACGACAGCAAGGATACCAGCAGCAGGCACAACCTTCTCCGATGAAGCCATTGGAGCACCTGAATCGGCAACGAAGAAACAGAGAAATCAATCTCCAATCACCAAACAAAGATTCAAACCCAAAACTGCATAATTTATCATAAAATTCACACAATTGATTCGAGTGCTTCCATTGAACTCTTAGGAGATCACAACATCTTTTCAGTAATCGGGATAAAATAAATTCAAAATACAAACACATTGCAATGAACGAAGACGAAACAACTGTAAGATCGAAAGCAAAAGTGAAACTGACCAATTCTTTTTTACTCTCCTCTAATGTTTCAAGTATACCCTTCTTTTAAGCTTCTACGTCATTTTCGGTTTCAACTGTCGTCTTTGGGTCACCAATGGATTCATCTGATTGACCAGATCGACTGGCATCCAATGCCGTTTGTGCATTTTCGAGTTCATATCTCAAATTCCTTTCATTCTCTTCCATCTCCTGATAACGTATGTCGTACCCAGTGCACAAGGCTCCCATTAACAAAAAAACAATATACTCAAGTCTCACCATTAGCTTCCTCTTCAGCAAATCTTCTTCTAGAATTTTCTCTTGTATTTTATTTTCAAACGATATTGCCCTTCATATTCAGCATTCTCTTCCTGCAATGTTACCTCCCTCAACTGTGTCTGTCCACAAATGCAAATGGGAACTATTAAGAAAGATTAAAACATCGCCTTTTTTATACTCCAAACTTAAACTACACAACTCCATAGCCAAAAATAAACAATCACATAAAACCAAGATAGCAAACAGAGAAAACGCATTAAATCAAGTACATCCTTGAATTTTTTAGCATAAAGAACAAATTTTAGATACAAAATATATTGCCGCAAAGCGAATACTAATAAGCTTTCAGGAGTGCAAGTTGTCCCCTAAGCAATTCTTAAGCCAATGTAATTGGCTTCAGAATTCTTGGTTCTCTTCACATAAATTTTTGGTTATTGTCATTCGATTCTGCCGGCTTCTGAACTAAAGCATTCTGAAGTAGAATTGCACCTTAGGAAGCCACTGAGCTATCCTTCTCCACTTCAGTTGTATCTGAGCAATTTAAAATGCCATCAGCCATCTCTAATTGTGACAATTCATTCAACTTAATTTGGTTATCATTTATATCCTAAATCAAACTAAAACTTTATCCCACGAAATTAAACTTCTATCGCATCCAATTAAACTACCACAACAACATACTGACAAAGTGAACATGGAAATTCATATACCATTTGACAATACCAAATCAAGAAATTTCTAAAGACCAAAGACAGATCCTACAAAGCAGAAACCCTATCTCATATGCATTAAAATCATTGACAAATTCTTGGTGAATCATCATAAAATTAACCCAATTTCTCAATTCCAAAAACAGGAAAGATTAAGAAAGGGTTCTGAGTTCTCACCATAACCAAAATAAACATATCGTTTCAGTTTGAACTGAGGTCAATTTCGGTCATCTGCATTAACAGAAACAATAACTTCTGTCAGTGCATTCAAACCAAACCCATAAATCAATTCCTAAAATCAACTGCAAATCACAAAGTTACCCAAAAAAATCCCACAAAGAACCAAAATACATGAAAATTACTATATTAGCACTCCCTCCACCCCAAAATCAGAAAATTTGAAATTAGAGTTTGATAACATTGTACTTAGAAAGCAAGGAATCGATAATTTAGGTGGTTTCCCAGGACAATAATGAGCTTGCAGAGATCATATTCATACATGGATGCACAAATACACACACTACAGAGACCATTTGATGAAAAAATAAAAAATAGAGATGCTCAGAGATTCAACACACACTATACATAGATCCATGACCTAGAATTTCTCAGATCCAGTTGAAATTAATAAAATAAAATAAAAAAATTTAGGGACATGAATTTATACCTCTGACAATCTGAGCTCCATTCCCCTGATTCCTTCGCCGGCTTGGTGCAAACCTGAGGAGATCGGCAATTAAGGATAAGAAAGCAGGCGACGGTGGTTTAGTTTTTTTGAGAGAAAATTCGAGTGAAAAGAAAAAGGAGAAGAAGAAGGGGATGCCCCTTCCCTTCTCAGATCGTCAATAACATCTGAAGTACTAAACACCCATACACTATATTTACACACATACGCTAATCAGCACTCTTAACATATCAATGGTCCAACAATTATGGAGCTCGAAATTTATATAAGAAAGGGCCAATCAAATCATAAATTAAAATGAAAATATGTACGTAATTAAGAATTATTACTTGCTGAGTCAGTTCCTTCTTGTCACTTCAAGAATTCTTCAATTCAAACCAATTCGATCAAACTGCCTCACCCAACAAAACAAAAAATAAATAAATTAAAAAGAAAATCAGGGGAACTAAATTAAATATACACTGACCTACTTTCTGGCAAGAAACCAAAAAGAGCGATTAAATAGCAGTGCACAATGACGGAATTTCTATGAAAAAATATGAATGAGTTCTTGAGGTTCCTGATATCATTAGAAACTATTTATGTGTCAAGAAAATCCATTATTCAAACTGCAGACAGGTTACAAAAATCTGACAACTTATGAATCGTCTCTTGAGCACCTAGGAGTGGGTGGATCCGGGTCTTGAAATATGATGTTTTAAAGAACTGATCAACATGAAAATCAGATGTCAAAGCAAAGTAGACAACCAATCATGACTATGCTTAAAAGAAACGAAAAAAGATATGGCAGGAGAAAAAAAAATGTACAAGTAAAGTTTCAGCAGCAACCTCAAAACATTTATCAGTTGAAGCATGCGTTTCTAATAAATGGCATCTCAACATCCAACATTTACACAATTCCATACCACACAACAATCCAAAAACAGATCAAACAGTTAGCAAATGTCTGAATTAATAATTTGACCATTAAACTAAACGAATCCGGTGATTTAATGCAAAGATGGACACATTTGTAGTACCTTCATCACGTGAATAGTTCCATATCTGTAACAGAAAAACAAATTTTGATGCATCAGGATAATGTTCAAGGAAATGTAAATATTTCCCCAACAAAGCATATCAAAGAAAAGGTAACAGAAAATGTAAACTTTGGCACCTTTATTGTTCGTAACAGCAGGATGGCATTAACTTTCAATCCTGGCACAAAGCCAACTGTCAAAAGGATGTCATAGGTCACATCACATCCTTTGCTGGTACAGAGCAATCTTCATCACTTCCATCACCACAAACCTCTCTCCACTTAACCTAAACAATCACATTTCATCCGAAATCAGTAAAGACTTGAACTTGCTGCAAATTAATAAACAAAAACCCGGCAAACACGAAAAACACAACCACAAAACCTCTATGAATTCATGGGTAAGAGCATCTCTTCCAAAAATTCCACTTAAAGTAGAAATGATGAATGGAACACTGGACATTCTAAGGTCAAGTAAAGTACTTCAGAATAAGATAAAGAGAAGTAAGATTCACAAATCTTGGAATACATAAAAAAGGGCGGCAAGACAAAATTGCACTATCCCCATTGAAACCTACACTGACATTCAAAGGTAACATTTGGATTAAAGACAAAATTTAACACCTTCTCGAGTTTAACTAATTTAAAGCGGCAAATATATGCAATTCCTCACGGATTCCAAGACTACATTCAAAGTTTAATCAAATATAATAATCATATTGCTTTGGCATTTTATTCCAATTAATTTAAGGGAATGAAAGCCAATCACTTTGCAAATGCCACATGAAACATACCATATGGGTTTAAATTGCTACTCCATACACTTCACATAAATAATAGATTCCAAATCCAGTCCAAATTCACCTGTGGCAACTGTGGTTCCTTTGATCCTGAAATAACAACTATGAGGAGTAAGGCCAAGGTTAATACCAGGACGTAAACAGGGATACAAACATAGACCATAAAAGAGAATATAGAGCATTTTCTCTATCATTTCTCTATCAAGTCGTCGTACCCAGTGCACAAGGCTCCCGCTTTACGCAGGGTTTGGGAGAGGTGAATGTCGGCTAGCCTTACCCCCATTTATGGAGAGGCTGCTCCCAAGTCTCGAACCCAAGACCTACCGCATTTCTCTATCAAGTGTAGCATGTAATTATTTATTACCACATAGTTGGTGCAAAATATTTGATAAAAATGAATAGGCTAAGTATGGGAAAACTTCACCACCATTAATTCAAAACAGTTATTTAAAAGGAAATTCAAAATAAAATAAAAAAACAAAAGAACTCGCCTGGCAAATCCTTCTCCAGGATCTTCCACTCTTCCCGAATTCTCTTTGCCACAGACACAATCGTCGGAGTTTGGGAACCGAATCCTTTGTTTGGAACTGTTGCAGAAGTGACCGACTATCAGGACCACGGCATCTTCAAGGGCTGCAGGCAAAGCAAAGTTGAGATAAACAACAAAGAACTACAAAGATTTGATCTTTATTAATTTAGTGAAAAAACCAATTCATATAAAACAACAGTTTCCACCACCATATTCATTTCAACAGCAAGAACAGAAACCGCATATAAAAGAAATTTAAAAAATTGAAGAAACAGAGGTAATAACAATACCAAATCCAGGCCCATCGGGTCCCGCGCAGTGTAATCTGCTTCTCTGAGACCATTTGTTCCATAAAATCTGACGCCTTTGAGCTCCAATCTGTGCGAACACTTCCAGAGCTTGAAGGAGTGCAGTGAAAAATGGGTTTAGAAAGCAGGGAAGAAAGTGCCAGAAGCTAAAACCCACTAATCATTTTTTACTTTAGATTCTCAGATTCTGTCACTTTGTCATCGTTTCTCCCCTTTTTCTTGTCAGCTCACAACAAAACAAATATCTTCTGAGTTCTCTTTCTCTCTTTGCAATTCCCACACCCAGCTCCCTCTCATCTGTCTCTGACATCCCCTCTCCCTCACAATCTCACTGAGTCGAAACCCCTAGCTCCCATCTCTCTCCAATCTGTCAGTCCCTCTGTCCTCCTCCCCCAATGACGCTCTGACCAAAGCAACAGGCACGGTCATCTCACCAAATCCCTATCTCTCTCCCTCCCTCCCTCCCTCTCTCTGCTCGCTCGCTCTCTCTCCCAACGGCATGGTCTCACCAAGTCCCACTGCAGCTCAGAATACTTCTCCTCAGTCACTCCAAATTGCTAATTGGATTACACTCCGAAGCCCACATTTTCTACACAATCTAAATGTAACTCTCACTAAGCCACAAACACACAATTTGACATCTCATAAACACTGAAATATAACCATTTCAGGTAAGCAATGCAAGATCCATAAACCAAGACGAATTACAATAAAACAAAATTGAAAAGAAAGCAAGAATTTACCACCAATGTAAACAAACCTAAGCAACTATGTGTATTAGACATTTAACCAAATCTCATGTAACAAAATTAGTAACTCCCTGTTCACTGACTCATAGTCCACTGCACTCAAATTCATTGTCTAAAAGATATATCAAATTTGGTAACAAAAATGATGCCTTTCGATATAGAGAATGTTAGGCAACCAATGATTTAAGATCCAAAAAGTTCCCAACTCCAGCACCTTTATGTGACCAAAAAACTTTACCAAGTGAGCACTGAAGCAGGCCGTTATAAATCTACTCATAGTTGACTGAGTTATCACTGTTTCAAATAAAGAAGAAAGGAAGAAGGATATTCAGTTGCAGTCGGCCATTCTCAGAGAAAGACAAAAACTTCTATGTTTGATTATTTCCTGGTTATTTCTTGTGACCCGAATCACAAGTTTACCTTGCATCAAAATAAAAATCACGTGACCATGCATATATATCACAATTTATCTAGAAACCTTCAGCATTTGATGATTCGAAACTTGAAAGGAGCAATATCCAGCCCATGCATTACTGCATGGTTTAGGTATTGAAAAAGTAAGATGATAGTGGTACATCCTTTACACGTTCTGAAATGTAATCTTTTTAGTTTGGGAAAAGATTCTTGCTTGAACAGGTATTATAGATCGTGCAGACAGTGTTTCATCGTTAGGGTACTGTGATTTGCAGACATGGGATTGGCACCCAATACTCAACTCATTTTAACTAATATGCGTTAAAAACAATCATCCACTAAATCCCTATTTCAATGGAAAAAAACCAAAAATTACTTATGACGAAGATGAATAAGTTGCAGGATTTATTAGATTAGCACATAATATTGCAGTATCAGACTCCACCTAAGTAGCTCCTGCCAATTTTAATCAACAGATAAGCACAATAAAGCACTTGCAATTGAACCAGAGAAATTGCAATACGCATAAAATTAAGCTTAAAAAAAGTATATTGTGCGTGCAGCTTCTGGAAAGTGTGAAAATCCAAATTCCAACTCATACAATCATAACTGCATAAGAGATAACGAAATTGATTTCACGAATTCATCAAACATTGAGAATTCATAACAAAATTGTGGGAAACAACTTCAACCTCCACTACGCCATTCAAATTCCTAGTCCTCAAATTAAAAACCATAAGATTCCAACTTTCGTCCAAAAAAGAAAGATAAAACAATAATGTAAAAGAAAAAGCATACATTAGCGAACCCGGCAAAGAATTCCGCCGGCGATTCTGCAGAAAAATTGAAAGCATGGCTAATGAATATTCAAACTAAAACATGCGTACAGAAAAAGAAGGCAGAGAGAGAGAGAAACTCTGTTCCAGAACGCTATCTTTGGGCTTTCTGCGCGTCTTCGATTGGCGTTTCTTAGGCTCCGTCTGGCTCTTGCTGCTCCCTCGAGCTTCCATTTCAAACTCCCAATCAAATCTTCGCCCCAAAAAAAACCGTCGATCCTCTTCGAATTCGATCAATTCTAGAGACAGAGAAAGGAGGAGTAAGACGACGGAGGCGAGAGAAGGGAGACGGCGGCGAGAGGAGGATAGGATGGAGGCGAGGCCGTCGTTCTCGCGGGGTCTGCGAGACGGAAGAGGCAAGGAGGGTTTGAGAAATCCCTGGAAATCAGCCTAACCCTCAAATCCCGACGGCCACATGCTTTTCTCTGACTGTACCCCCTCTCCCACTATGAAATCGAGGATCCCCACTCCTCCGTCTCCCTCTGTCTCCCTGAAGCGGCATGGCCTTCCATCCCCGAAACCCTCACCGAACGAAGAACAAAGAGGCGGTGGTAATTTTGTAAATAAAGCGAAAGTTGGGCTGAAATCAGTCCGGTGGCAAGCTCGTAAATAAAGTGAAATTTCAATCTGAAACTGAAAAGGCGGTGGTATTTTTGTAAATAAGTCAAAATCCACCCCAAGTCACTGTTGATTTGAATAGTGCCAATTTCAAACCTTACTTTAGACTGAAGTTGTATAACCATGCGCGAATTATGTCAAAGCTTCTTCATCAATTACCATTTAATCAGTCTAATATAAAACAAGTGTTGATGTTTACAGACATTAATGCTACATTTTTTTTCATACAAAGATATTCTACTCTAATGGAGGGGATATTCTACTCCAAAAGAAAATATTTGTCTTGGCACATAACGATCCATCCATAACTAGTATCGAATTCATGTTTAGGTACCCGTGGGATGTAGTATTCAGGACCTTCCTCCATGTTCAAGTACCCGTTAATGTTGTATAACCATGCGCGAATTATGCCAAGGACCTTCCTCCTATATTCATAGACATTGTGCAGCACTTGGATCTTTCCACATTATCATGGGCTCCATTAATGTTCAGGTACCCGTGGGATGTAGTATTCGGGAACCTAGGGAAGCAAAACATCACGGTGGCTAGCGATGCCAAGCACCCCATGACACCTGATTTAGGACAAGGAGGTTGCTTGGCATTGGAAGATGTCATGGTCTTGGGTAGATACATAGGGACATCCTTTGTACAAAATGGACGACTCGTGCCAAAAGAGATGGATAATGCGATAGGGAAATACGTGGAAGAAAGAAGATGGCATGTCGCGCTGTTGATTGCAGGATCATATTTATCCGGATGGGCACAGCAGGCAGGGTCTAGATGTGTTAGGAAGTTCTTAAGGGATGCCATATTTTACAGGTTCATTTTCACTAAACTTGTTAAAACTTTCACATTATGATTGTGGAAAACTTGATTTCTAGCTAGGGCATTTCATTGTCCACAAGAAAGAAAACAATCAAGATTCCCTTCTCTACGGAATTAAATTATTGATGGCCTTTCAACAAGGATAAATGAGAGACAGGAATTAATCTAAGGAGAATAGAAAAGATTTATGGAACTTATTAGCTATAACATAAATTTATACTTCGACATACCTTTGCTGCTTTGTTGACAAAGCATATTTTGAACAGTAGTTGATAGCAAGGCATATGCATGTAGTCTTAGATGAAAAGCTAAATAAGCAGTATATACTATTAGTGTATAAATGGCAATAGGCACAATTTAAAAAAAAATGTGCTTTGCCCAGAATTCAAGTATGTACGAACCAGTTTACAACGAATAAAAGCAGTCTTTATGGAGCCTCCAAATGCGTAATGGATAATTTGTTGATAGAAAATGTTTGATTATCTGAAGATGAACCTGCTTCTTTACGATACAGAAACCCAGATTATTTAGGCTGATCCCATGCACCATTACTTCACAAGATTATAACTACAGATGCCATGCTCTACAAGAAAAGTACTTGAGCAACAACTACAAAGAGAATGCAACATAACACGTACGATAGAGAACGTGAATCTCCTAAACATTGATCAATCACTTCCAAAGGCCTTCTTTATATTAGTTCTATATTTATCCATGTATGAATTATGTCAAAGCTCCTTCATCAATTACCATTTAATCAGTCTAATATGTGAAACAGGTGTTGATGTTTACAGACATTGCTACATTTTT